TTATTTTCAAAAAGTTGGAGAAATCTGTCACAGCTGCTTACTGTATTTTGTATCGTATCTTTAGCATGGTACCTAGTGGTGATGGAAGACCAAATTAATCTTTTTTAATGTTCAGTAAATTTAATAAAATGTCAGAACACTGCAACAGTTCTGTAATTTTGGATATATATTTGTAATAAGTGCTAATAGAAATAATCAGAGATCTTTAATTGAGCTTCTCAGTGTGTGTACAGGGAAAACCAAAATGGATTACATAACAGCAGTCTTATAAACTGTTTCATTACTAGCAGCTCAGCCCATAAATAATCCTATTTTGGAATAAATCCAAAACAAGAGCAGAAGGGAAAAGGTATTGTTGGATAAAATAGTGAAATGGGATGGGATTTTTTCACTTTAGGGATTATTTGCTGAAAGCAGCGGATGTCCTTCCATTAAGCTAAAACATAATATATTTAAACATCCTTTTACCTGCACATAAAAACACCTTCTTTCAAGGTCTTGGGTCATGTAAATGTCATCACTTTTTAATACTTCTGGAAGGGAGGCCTTGTATTCAACTCAAATATTATTTTTAATGGAAAAAATAATAGCAAAGTAGTCCTTACCTGTAGGCTTCAATGAATTGTTTATAGTGCAAATGAGAGAGTTATATGTACAAAAAATGAAGATTGACCTTGCAATTTTGCAACAAAAGGAATTAACTGAAATCTTGAAAGGGATAAATAAAAGTGAACCGCAAACTCTACTTTTTGTTAAATATTTCTGTGTGAAAGCTAGCAAAGCTGCTAGGAGCTGTGGAATGTAGGAGTTGAGAAATATGGTGGGAGGTCAGAATCACGTCATAAAGTAAAGACGGAGGGAAGGGGCTGTTGTGTGGGGCCAGGGACAAATGGAAAGAGGAAATAAGTAGATGACTGGGGTGAATTTGTGGAATGTTTTAGGATGACCAAGGCAGTGATGTGTGTATGGAAGTTGGGAGCTCATTTGATCTCTCCTGACTACAGACAGAACTTGGATAAGTCTCAGATTGGTAGATCCTGCATCCCCTGATTGTCCTGTCAAGAGGCAGCAGAGATATAATCTGGCAAACATTCTCATGTGAAATGCTGCTACATCTGGAAACTCACTGCTTATTTTAGTAACTGCCAAAATGTCAAAATAAATTATTAGCCACATGTCATCACTGCATCACCATTTAGTTCAGTGGGATAAGTCTGGGAAAGGACAGGCGATGATATTCAGCTGTTTCTAGAATTTATGGGTTTATCAACCTTTTAGAGGATTATGAACAATTTTTTTCAGCAGTCTTTTACCACTTATGCTCTGAGTCCTTTATCTCAATTGTATGTTTTAAATTTGCCTTGGATTTGCCTAGCATCTTCCCAGAGTTGTGTGAGGAGTGCTTTTGGGCAGCCTCCGGTAACAACTTATCTATAGGAGAACACTGCAGGAGAACGACACTTCTTTCCCCACTACCACCATAAAAATCATGAACGGAGACAAACCTGTCCCTTTTTAAGTACAAAAATAATTTGCTGGTTACCTTTTAAGCCCTTACTGTGGCTGTGGTATGAAAGGCCTTCTGCACATTGATCTTACCTTTTAAATCGTATTCTTTACCATGGTGCCCAGCATCATCATCCTTCCTGTTGCTCAAACTCGTATATTCTTGGCTTCATTTTTTTACTTGGATTTTCCCTATGATTCATCTGATGTCTAAATTTGCTCCTGGCTCCTGCCTATCTTTTTTATGAGTGAAATCCTGGCCTCACTAAAGTTGATGACAGTTTTATCATTGATTTCAATGGAACTAGGGTTTTATCCCAAGATCCACCTCTTTCTCACTGCCCACAGTGTCAAGCTCTTGTCTAAACCCCAGTCATCTGCATCTTGATACAGTAGTTTATCTTTTCTGGTCTGGGTATCTGCAATCCCAAAGTCCATTCAAAATGCTGCTGGTAAGATCATCTTCATGGTGTGTTGCAGTGACTGTTATCCTGCTTCTTCGATTCTCTGCCTTCCCTGTACGTCAAATATAAGCTTCTTATCCTAATCTTCAAAGGTGTTCAGAATTTAGTTCCAACAGGCCTTTTTGCTAAATTGCTGTTACTAACATGGTTGATCCTCTCTGCTAATGGTGTCAACATTAGTGGTCTGTATTTCTCTCATTGGTTGACATTTGTGATCTGACCTGCTAGAAACTTTTAAAACTGCTTCAGTATAAATCACTCATAGTAACAGACAGTGCTTGTCACAAGTGAGTTGTACCTTAGCTTTCAGGATTTAAGGAATCTCTTCACTATTTTCCGTAAAACAAATAGAGATAGGAAATTCAGGCTTAATTCAATAATAAGCAGTAATAATGAGGTGAAATGTAGCATACTGACATTATTTTTGTTATTTGGAGAATGGGGAGTAAAGACAAAAAAAACTACAAAGCCTGCTTTTAGACATTAAAAAACAAAAATGCACTTTGCTGGAAGCAGCACATTACTTGGACCCAGCTCTGCAGTGTCTGTATGGATTGGACGCTTCACCAGGGCTTTTTGGCGCTTCTACCTAATAGCTGATTCAATCAGCTATTAGATAAAAGTGCTGAAAAAGTCCTACTAAAGCACCTGACCTTTACAGGCATCAGGTGAGGCAGGTCCAACTAACATGCTGCCTCTTCTGAGCATGTGCTGGGCTTGGCACAGAAGCGCAGAGAGTTTAAAGTAAAACAGAGGGTTTTTTTGTTTTTTTTTTAATGTAGGCAAGCAGCCAAAGAGTCTTCTGCTGCTTTTGTTCCCCAAATTACCAGTTGTGACTTTGTGTCCTGTTTCACTACAGGGAGAATTGGAAATTTTATACTGGGACAATTGCTTAGGAGAGACATTACATGGAAACTTGGTTTTTCAGCTTTACAGTGGATTCATATATCTAAAAAATTAATGGAGATTTGGTTTGAATAAAGCAGGCTTGTCCAACATATGGGCTGCAGGCCGCCAGGTGGCCTGCCGAGCCATTTTATCTGGCCCATGGCAGCGGCGGGGGGGAGGCGCAGGGGGGCGGGGGGGGGAGCCATTTTATCTGGCCCATGGCAGCGGCGGTGCGGAGTCGCAGTGGCGGGGCTGCAGCGGCAGCGCAGAGTGCAGAGCCGCCAGCGTGGGGCGGCGGCGGTGTGGAGTGCGGAGCCGCCGTCATGGGGTGGCGTTGCGGAGCGCAGGGCAGTGGTGGTGGGGCTGCCACGGCAGGGCAGAGTGCAGAGCTGGCAG